ATTCCTTTCAGATGTCAGTCTCATCCACGCCAACAGCATCAAATACAATGGTGCTTGTTTTGGGGTTTTTTTGTATGTCTTTTTTTTTACTTTGTGTGGAACAACATGTAACAGAATGTGCCTTTTGAACAGGTCCAGACAGTCCGTACACCAAGACCGCCCTGGAGATTGTAAATGTGTGCAAAGGGACCTTAGCAGAGGTAAGTTTTATTTGTTATACAGATTATCATTATGTAGAAACCGGTGACAATATCTTTTAGGGATCTTTTTAAAGTAAAACAGTTAAGATTCTTTAAAAGTCTGGATTTTAATGAAAACGTATCGGATCCCCAAACTTTATTCCCTCTGCCAGTGTTCAAGTCTTTTCTGTGCATTCATTTATCCATCAATCCATCCTTTTTTATTTATCCGTCCACCAGTTCTCTTCTGTATTTTCTGTTGTTTTTTTTTTTTTGTGAAGTAAAAGGAACCATTTTTGACACATACAATGTGATTGAATTCTGTTTTGTTTTGGGTTTTTTTCTTGTCACGCAAGTATCACTTTAGAGGAAATTGAAATGTGATTTTAACTCTGACATTTTTATTTTTTTTATTTTTTTTTATTTTCTCGAAACGTTTGACACTAGAGGGTAGACGTTTCGCTGAAATAACGTTTCGTTTCTTTTCAGTACGATGAGCACCTGACCCAGCTGGAGAAGGACATCTCCACAGCCAAGGAAGCAGCTCTGGACGCAGCAGACTTGGAGAGCCTGGACCCAATGACGCCCGGGCCGTACACGCCGCAGGTGAGCGCGTCCGCGGCCCGGTCAGGCTGCCGGCATACAGGATAGAAGCGAACGTTGTTGTACACGCAGTAGATTCCTTGCTGCATCGTTCACTGTTATTCCTGCCCCTGTTTTCTGACTTCTTTGCTCTACTAGCGCTCCCCTCCAAATTGTTATGTTGTATTTGCGCAGTCTGGTTTCTTCACCACAGTGTCTCCTTGTTTTTTTCCCCTCCCCCACTTTCCAACGTGTTTCCTGTGCTTCACTCCTGCCTTCATTTCCTTTCTCTTTGTTTGTGTATGCCACTGTGTGTGGTGTTGGCCAGCCTGCTGATCTGTTTGACAGCGTGGCTTCAGGGAGTCTACCCAGAGAGCCCAGCAGCCTTTTCTCTGAGGGACCTCTGTTGGTTGCTCCAGAGAAGAGAGGGGGGCAGGTACGGAGGGAGACACATGCCACCTCTCCTCAGACTTTCCTCAGAGCATTGGGCAATTTATTTTACCTGCTTACCAAAAGAGTTGTCCAGTACAAAGCTTTTTATATATATATATATATATATATAATATGCTTTCATTTCAGTAAAAACTGGACTGTTTGTGATTATTTTTGTTCCGTTCTGGCTCTCAGGGACGGCACATGAGGAGACCAGGAGAGGAGGACTCGGACGTGGACATCGAGGGCTTCGAGGAGGAAGATGACGGGAAACCCAAGACTCCTGCTCCTGTAAGAAAGATCAATTACTTATAGGTGAAAATGAAAACATGGGGATGGATCGTGCTGAAAGAAAACTTATTTAGTAGTTGATTAACTGTAAGTGGGGCATAAAAAAAGGCAAATTACTGAAAGGACAACATACTCAGAGGAGTAAAGAAACATAAAATGTACTATGTATATATATATATATTTTTTTTTTTATTTATTTTTTTTTGCATGAAAGATTTTAAAAGGTCTCTCTGTAAATATATTCTACCAAAAACGTCTCTAGTGGCATAGATTTAGCTTCAGTCGGTTCAAATTCTGCATAAATAAATAAATCTTTTTAACCACCTTTTGCTATCTAATTATTAATCCAAAGACTAATCACAGATCAGTCCCTACACTGTATTGATGATAAGTCAATGTTTTTCCAAATTATTTGTCTATTTGCATCTTTTAATTTATTTCTAATATTGTATAAAAAAATAGCTTAAATAAAAAAAAAATAAATAAAAAAAAACGTCAGAATGAGCCAATTTTTTTTATCCAGCTGTAAGGATAATCAATAGCGTATTCAGTCGCTAACATAATCGTTAGTTCTGTTGTTATTCACGAAATCGTAATTTTACCTTTCACGCTTTCATTTCCTTGTTTGCTTTCCAGGCAGAGGATGCCTATGGAGATCTGGAGGACGAAGACGACGAAGAGATGTTGCTGCCGCCTCGCAGGCGGCTGCACGACGTCGAGGACGACGACGAGCGAGGACACGGGCGGTTGACCCACCCGGCCCAGTCCAGTGTGCTGTACCAGGACCTGCTCATGTCCGACGTAGAGGATGACGCCAGCGACGAAGAAGGGGACAACCCGTTCTCTGGTGAGGTCATCAGAAACGACATCAAAATACTTGAACTGGACGGGGTTTTAAGGAGTTTCCAGAATGTATATATTTGTAATTGTCCTCCTGCTAAGCATTTGAGTACTTTTGCAAGGCTCTGCATTTTAACTCTTCCCACGGCTTAAATCCATTGCCTTTCAACAGCTGCATCTTAAATTTAGGATTTCACTTGTGACCTTAAAGCATCTCTTCCTGTGTGTTGATGTGTTGCGCTTCCCTTCCTGTGTGTTGATGTGTTGCGTTTCTCTTCCTGTGTGTTGATGTGTTGCGTTTCTCTTCCTGTGTGTTGATGTGTTGCGTTTCCCTTCCTGTGTGTTGATGTGTTGCGTTTCTCTTCCTGTGTGTTGATGTGTTGCGTTTCTCTTCCTGTGTGTTGATGTGTTGCGTTTCCCTTCCTGTGTGTTGATGCGTTGCGTTTCCCTGCAGGCATTCAACTGTCAGAGAGCGGCAGCGACTCTGAGAGGGAGGTGGACATCCGACCCGCGCCTCCGCGGAGAGCTCAGGATACGGCCCGCATGGGCATGGAGCAGGATGAGAGCATGATGTCGTATGAAGGGGTTGGTAATGAACACATGGAAGACAGCAACATCAGGTAGAACAATAACTAGATGTCTTTTCTAACATTTCTCACTTTTGAAAGCTTAACATCCATTAAAGTCATTTTAAAATGTTGCATTTTTCTCTCCCCCGTCGTTTCTCTCAGCTACGGCAGCTACGAGGAGACGGAGAGTCGCAGCCAGATGCAGCCGTCCAGCATGGGAAACGGCGAAGAGTACGGCGTCAGCGAGGAGGAGGAGGAAGACGAGGAAGATGAGGCTCGGCGAAGAGGCCCGGCTGTCCTGTCCCAAGTCCAGCTCAGCGAAGACGAAGACAGCGAGGAGTTCCGATCCATCGGAGGAGACAGTGACATGGACTCTGATAATTAGCCGGATTTCATTTTCCTGACTGGACTTGATCAACTTCAGCACTGTTGGAATTCCAGTTTCAAAACAGAGAAATCAGATTTCTCAGGTAAATACTGTATGTACAAACATTTTGTAAATGGTGATCGCCGCTACTGTGGAACCTTTAGAGAGCAGAGCATTGTAAATTATAGCTTGTTCCTTTTTATATAAACTGAATAATATCCAACATGGCGGATTCCAACATGGAGGTGTGAGCTCGCTTGTTTGTTTTTTTACCGTTTTAACTGAATTTAGTATGCAATAATTGTTGGCTGTTTCTTGGCTACCATCAAAGTAAAAATAAAACTGAAGAACTATAAAAATGTCTAAAACTGCAGTCAAAAATAAAACTCCAGTTACAAGTTTGTTTGATGAAATATTTTTTGCAGAAAAGTTCAGGTATTCAATTATTTTAAAACAAGGAAAAAGGTTGGATATATATGAAAAACAAACTAAAACTACAAATTATTATTATTATTATTTTGTTTGTTTGTTTTTCTGGGGACTCTAAAGAATACTTTTCAGTTCTTTTTAAATGTATGTTTTGTCCAGCTGAAGTAAGTGTGTCGATTGGAGATCATTTGTAGAAAATTGTAGATTCTCCAATTCAGGCTTTGAACAGCAGATGGCGCTTTCAAGAACAAGTCAAATGTGATCCTTACTACTTGTCTCTCCACTGAAATAGAAGAAGTCAAAGGTACAGACTGGTAGAAATGTTACGAATAAAAGTGAGTGAACAAGCTTGAAATGAGAAAAAGAGCCCTCTCCCTCTGACCTGCAGCATGTAGACTAAATCTGAAGGACATCCTCTTTAAATGCTAACCTGCTCTTGGCCTCTGTTTCCGGCTGCTGACACTTTGTTTCACACGATGTTTACTCGTGTGACGTTTTTGGCATGGTGATGGTAAATTGCACACTTCCTGTTGCAATCATTCTGCTCACAGCAGACCGTTCTGTTGTCAGCCGCCCTGAAGAGAAGTTTCACTGCCACTTCCACTTTCATACCAACCTTCAATCTGCACAAATAAGATTTCTGCACAGTGCATCTCAACATAATCACTCTTGTTTCAGATTATAGCTTTTCAGGTGTCTCATCAGGTTCAGCATATGAGCAAAGTTTATCGTGTAAGCGTTTTATGTTCTTTAACGTTACATTCAGAGTTTAACCAATCAGAAACTTCACCTAAAGAAACCACATGATGATTTTGATTTCACCTCGAGCAGCCAACGTCTTTGTGGCAAGCAAGTGTTGCCCCCGTCTGAGTTTCCTTCAGCAATACCTTTCCTATCCTAAGCTGCAGCCTATGGTTGTCCTGTAAACAGATTATTTGAACAGAGCAGACAAAAAGTAAAAAAGACAAATAATCATGCCAACTTTTATGCAATTTTACACAATTTGTTTGAAAAGGAGCAGGTAGACAATAAAAGATCTGGTGATTTCCTGCCATATTTTTACGTTGGTTTATATTTGTACTTTGCTTGAGTTCATCATTTAATCTTTTCCACACATCTACCCCGCACGTACTGATACACAAAAACTGATGGGCAACCACGAGCATCTCGGCTGCTTCTCTCCATTCAGCTTAGGCTGTCGGCCACGTCTTGGAGAATCAACAAACCTCTGTGAGAGGGTGAACGTTTAGGATATTGGATCAATAGTTGTCCTGTAAACAGTTGGGACAACAACAACAAAAAAAAGCACGCCACACATTACAGATTTTTATTTTAAAAACAATCACTTGCTTTCTACTTCCCAGCTACGCACTACTTTGTGTTAGTCACATAAAACACATTGAGGTTTTGAAGTTAAAAAGCCACTTTTACTGTTCTTCCTCATTAGTTTGTCTAACGGGGATTTCCCAGTGGCAAATTTTCACCTTTGAACGGATGAGGCATGCCTGCCCCAGGCCGCGGTGGACACCCTGTCTGGCGAGGCAAAAACTCGCCCACGAACAGACAGGTATCCCTTGGAAGGGTGAGCAATCCTGCTGGGACTGAGGGACTGGGATCTCTGCAGTCTTTTCACCGCCGTTACTCTGTCTGGGAACTCTCTCGCCAAGCAGGCGATGTCGCTGGAGTTCAGATATGCTGCAAGGCTTGACGCTGTTCCGGAAGACGGGACAACTGCGACGCAGGGTTAAGTGGTTAGACGTAATGAGAGACGTGGAAACAGATCAAACTTATTTCTGTAGTCTGTCGACGGCGGGGAATGATAGAAACCTGGGGGATGGCGGTCGCTTTGGCCAGCAGGTTGGCTGACATCAACCTCTAAACTTCTGCTGTTCCTGACAGCCTGGAGAGAGCGCAGGCTTGTCTGCAGAGGTGACCTCATCCTGCCTGGGGATGCTGCAGGCGGGAAAGGATCAGATTTACTACCACTTTTCACCCCTAAAGAAAGCAGTGGAAAATCCTAACCAATAACTAAAACAGAAAGTTCTGCAGATCAATATGAAAACACTGGTTTAAAATCTGTAATAACTCTCTCCATAGCCTACCGCATGAGTTGTGCATTGTGGTACAATTTAGTTGTGATTGTGTGTGTGTGTGTGTGTGTGTGTACCTTTATTCTGGGCAAGCCTCAGCAGCTTGAACTGGGTTACTTGCTGGTGAAGTTTGGTCAGTTTTGGGCTTTGGCCGACCTGCTTAGCTGCCGGCGTTGGTAACTTGCAGCTGAACGAGCCTGCAGCTGTCAGACCGGGCTTGCAGGCACAGTCTGGAGCAGTGCTTTTATTTCTGGAACTGACGTCACCAGCATGGTCAGCCTCGGTGTTTAAAAATGAGGAAAACACGTCTGAGTTTCTCCTCAAGAGAGCTGCAGCAGGCATGGAAATATAGTCCTGTCTTAAACCTGAAAAGCGAGAGCAACAAGTCTTATAGTCCGACCTCGTTTAGGCGCAAGGGGTAAAATAATCTAGAAAAAGTCATGGATTACCCAGCTGAAAGATAATTGAAACAGATGCCACCAGGTCCCTTATGTTCTTTATACTCACTGTCTTCCTGTATTCTGGCCATTATGTGGACATCTGTTATATCCTGTAGTCTGTAGCTTGTGGTCATGAAGTCATCAGGGTGGGTCACCTTAACATGATCTATGCAAAGTAAGAAATGGAAACCTTTTTGTGATAACTGTGCTACAGTGTCAGATCTAGGCCGTGGGAAACATATTCATTTAAAAAAGAAAAGTTATTTAGAGTTCTTACTGTTACGTATTTTGTAACTTTTTGCATAACATTTTTAATGAAAAGCTTCAAAGCCACGAGTCTGACCTTTTGAGATGCACGGCATCGCTTCCTTGTTATGGTCCACGTCCCGCTAACACAACATGTTGGGAGGTTTTTAATAAACTCCACTGTGTCGTTTCCACAATATCATAGTAATTGTTTGACATACTGGAAGACTGCGTAGGTCGACTTCCTTGTTTTCTGTCTACTTCCTTTTTGCCTTTCCTCTGTCAGGTTAGAGCTTGTCTTTTTTGTGTGCTTTATCATTCTGCAGGGTTTTCTGCATATTTATTTAGGGTGTAATAGGAACTCTTAAAGAGTTCTGATGTGTTCTCCTAACTAGTGTTTATCTTGAAAATAATACACCCAACTATGTGCTTCTATAGATCATACCAATGTGATTGATGTTCTCAATCTTATTATCTTATTATTATAGTTCAACTCTTTTGCAAAACTAGACCACCTTTGGACTATTTTCTGTAGAACCACCATAGCTGTGGAAGAAACATGTTGCAGTCCCGCCCACATTGTGTCCTAAACTTGACCTTTTGACATATTGCTCAGCGCTTCTCTGAGTAAGAAAGTTTTGCATTTCTGCAAATTGTCTAAAGAGAATATGCCGGCGCTTAACTGCAGCTTTTACCTAAGCTGCCAGAGTCACTGAGTGACGTGTTGACTGATGTTTTGTCCAGAGCAAAACCCAAGGAGACACTCGGGGAATGAGGGGAAACTGCTGCATGTCTGCAGAAGTAATATCTTGATCCTGGCGATAGTAGAAATAAAGCAAACCAATGACCATACCACATTTCAGATTAACATTTGTAAGATCCTAAGTGTGTGAGGCTGATTTCTAACTTGGATCCAGTTTGTTCATCAGCCCACGACGGGCAGCCTCCATCTCGGGGCTGGGGTTATCCAGAACGTGTCGACACCACCTGAGAGCAGGCTCCCTCTCTTCGAACGACGGCCTGTTTGGAGGCTCATATAACCTGTGAGAAAAACAACGTGGGCTATTTATACGCCTCAGGCATTTTCTGCTCAGGGTGTTCGGGGTGATGCAGAGTGTTTGTTTTCTGCCACATCTAGTCCAGCATGAAATCCAAAAGAGTCTAAAACAAATAAATGAATGCTTGTGGTTGTAACTTGACAAAATGTAAAAAAAAAAAAACTTTTGCAAACTTCACCGAAGTGATAAATCAAAGATTTGAACATGCCTTCTGAAGTTCATAATTTAGACAAGATTGGTGTAAATACATAAATAACCACAAGGCCACCTCAAGGAAACTCCCTCCTAGCAGAACCTACCAGCTCTCTTCATCTCCTATGCTTTCCTCCATGTCAAGGATCTCCACCTCGTCCAAAGCAGACTGCTCTTCCTCTACGTGTCCGCCGTTCCAGAGGTCTTTTTCACTGTCATAGTAGTAGAAAGAGTCGTCTGAGTTACCCCAGGGCTGCGGTGAATTACACCCAGACTTCAGACTATCAAGTCTTATTCTAGCATCCATGGCAAATGATCTGCCGGTCCAGTTCTTGACTCTTGCTGGCTCAGAATCAGTCCAGACGTTGCGGTACAGATGCACCTGTTCGTCCAGATGTGCATTGCTGCTTTTCACTTCGCCACCGATCTCGGGCCAGTTCGCCTTGGCACCAAGCTCTGCCTGGGTTTGACTGCACAAGTATTCTCTCCAGCTGCTTTTCGTGTGGTCTTGATGCTCCATTTTCCGTGCAAAATCCTCAAACCTCCTTGTGGCTCCAAGCTCCCATCTGGGAACATTGATAAAATCTTCAGTTGCTATTGCTAAAACAGCGATTTATAGATGGGAAATTCTGCTGGTTTTGTTCATCACACACAGCAGCGGTAACGTCTATTGACCCAGATTTATTGAGTGAGGTTGTTAAATGAGGGACTCAACAGATTGGATGGATTTAGAGAAGCATCATGAGCTTAAGTGGATTACCACAGGTAGCCGCTAAGAAAGAGCGACCCAGTAGACATCACACAGTCAAGGCTCATATTGATACTAAATTTAGGCAGCAGAAATAGCCAGTAGCACACATCACCATGTTCCACGTCTTTATCTTTATGTTGCCTTCCCTCTGTTAAGTGTTAGACGCTGCTGAGGATTTGTTGTGGTTCTTATGCCAAGTTCTGTTGGATTCTGATCCCTGATGACCTCGATTGTCCAAAGACCATCGATGAGATTATGAAGTGGGACCCGCAGAGGCTCCCCACATTGTAGTAAGACAAACAACAGAACCCTACTGTGGACAGTGACGGGAGCTGAGAAGGTCAAAACATTAATTTGACTTGGTTTGACTTGAGAAAGGCCAGACTGAGAGGTGTGGTTTTCATCCACAGGCGGATTAGCGGACTTATTTACAGCTTTCCTTACTACCAAGTTAAACTCAAGATTCTTCTTCTTCACTCACAAAGTGTGAAGATCAAAACGTTCTTTGGGTTAAACGCCAGCTAAGAAAAGAGTTCAGATAAATGTAACGACATGAAAATGATACATTTGTACACGTACAGAACAGATGATGTGGGATAGAAAGCAGCAGAAAAACAAGGTCTTTAATTTAGTACACATTCATTTCACCACATAAATCCACTCTGTCAGATCGTAGGAGGAATAACGTGTTGACGTGAAAAGGTGAAGGCCTTTCGAACCTTTGAATGACCCAGGCGTGGTTCAGTGCATAAACAAATGTGTATGTCGTAAAGGCGCAGAAGACAATGGTCTCCTTTGACATGGCTCCGAAGATGAACACCTTCATCTGTTGATGTGTTTATCCATGACTCTCATTGTGTGGACATCATGAAATAGAAAAAAAAAAAAAACAACCTTTCAGTTTTAAATCTCAGCAGCTGTGTACCTTGTCTTCAAATGTACCTTGTCTTTAAATGTATTAGGCTTTATAAGAACTTATTTTTCTATTTTTATTGAGCCTTTACTAGAAATTTCACCCATAAAGTTGATCAGTTGAATAGAGTTAGCATAACGGTGCTAAAACCAGAGTTGTAATTAAGCTATGCTAAGCTAAACAGGCTAATCATGTAACTAGAAAAATTAGTCTGTGCCCTGCCACTGTAACAACCAAATCTACTGCAGAGTTTTTGCATGCTAAACATATTCATGTGTTTGGGTTAATAAATAGTTTTGTAATCTAAGACTCCAGAGAACATTTAGATGAAATTGCAATTTTAGTGTGCCACACGTCTACAGTTTGCAGACAACTGTAGACACGCCTCTGGTAACAAGAAACACACACTTTATAACAGCCTCTCCCCTCCACTTACACACACACACACACACGCACACGCACACACAAACACACAAGCAACGGGCAGAAAAAGAAGCATTAATATACACAAAGTTGTATCAGCTTCGGGTGTTTTATGTGTTGAATTATGTTCTTTACAGAAAGTAGCCCAAAGCCAATGAGTGAGTTTGAAAAAAAGTAATTACTTCCATAGGTTTACCAATAATAATAATTTAAAAAAAGACCCGAACAGCTTGCATGGCTGAAACTTACAGCACACAGAACTCACCACAAACTGGTTGCCGCTGATTGGTACTATAAGAATAAAAAACTTCAAAGCATCATTCTGCTACGTCAAATTGCCTTAGTTACTGTGTACACATCCTATAAACAGTCGCCGCCTCATTTTAAAGTGGTAGGTGGAGGTTTTCTCTTGAATGATGCAGCACCTGCGTCTCCTCTCCCCGCCCCTCACCTCACCCTCCGCCGGGCTCGGTTCCTCGTCGTCACCGCTGATGTCCACCTGCCTGGTCTGACTCTCTAACCGGTCCACTCCATCGACAGCCACCGAAAAACTTCAGCAGCTCGGTGTTCCTACAGTCTGTTGCGTAAAATGAGGTGCAGCGACGTTGAATTTAGACAGTGAAGCGCCACCTCTGCCGGGTGGAAATGCACGACAAAAGCGGCAAAGGAGCCGCCGACGGAAGCTCCGCCGGTGGAGGCACAGCAGCCGCAGTGCAGGTAAGAGCGGCGCTTTGTTTTGTTTTTATTTTATTATTTAGTAATTTATTTTTGTTTGTTTGTTTGTTTGTTTTGAGCTCCCAAGACGCCACTCTATAAGTGTGTAAAATGTACAAGTTTTTTTTTTTTTCCGCTTTAAATTTCGAGCTGATACCGTCTGGTAAACTTCACCGTCATCAGATGAAGCAGTCCAACCTGTCCGTCGACATTACTTTACAGATGTACTAGACGCTCCTGAGATAAAACTGAGATAAAACTACTCACTCAACACATGTGTGCAAACAAACTGTTCTCAAGATATTATAACGATGATACAGGTGATCCGCGCAGGAAACCGTCTTTTGTTCCGTCTCTATTATAACCTAAAATAGTTTCTTCCCAGGTGCAGCTGAACTCATGAACTCATTTGACTTTTATGCTTCTTCTTGAATTCAGTTGCAATAATTTAAAATCTCGAATTAGCTAAAGATTACAAAGGGAAAAAGAGGCATTTGTTGTATTTACTGCTGTCAGATGAAGATAATAATTGCAAATCTTTCTTATCTCTGCATAGTTTTGGTGATCACTTCCTAAATGTTTTTGCAACAATTATTTATATAATGTATTTGTGTCTGCAATACAATTACAGGCCTTCATATTTACTATACTTTACCAGTTTTTTTTTTAAAGTATGTAAAACTTTTGAAGTAGGTAACTGATGATACCTTTCAGACTCAAACGTAAAATGTTCTAACAATAAAACTGAACTCATATAAATAATTCATCTTTAAACTCTGAACAAATAGTGTGACAGCACATAAAGCAGAAGCTCTGCTCTTATCTCCATTGAAGTTCCTCCTTGTGGCCTGGCATAACTTCCTCTGCAGTTCAGATGTTGACTGCTTTTGTAGGAAGAACTAAATAGTATGCTATTATTCTGTGGTTTTGAAAAAGTGTTGAGTTTCATACATGTCGTACAATGTGTCCTTAGGTCTACAAAGTGCCCTGTAAAAGTATTAATACCTTTTGAAATGTTTGACATAATGCTTATTGAATAAAGCAACAGCTTTTGTTATTTACTCTTAATATAAAAGCATACAGAAATATCATTCACACTGTGAAGCATGGTAGTGGCAGAATAATGCCATTACTATGTTTCTACTCAGCAGGGAGAGAGAAGCTATAGTGTTGATGAAAAGACACATAGAACAAAATTCAGGACAATCTTAAAAGAAAACATGTTAGAAGTTTGTTTGTTTATTTTGTGTTTGTTTTCATTTGTTTTGTTTTTGTTTGGTTATTTGATTTCTATTGCTGTTATTCGCTCTATTATCTGGTTAATTATTTTGTAGCTCAATACCCCCTTTATGCTTTTTCTCACTCTATAATGTTTGTTGTATATACACCTGCTGGTGAATAATAAATATGTAAAAAACAAAAGAAAAAAAAAAAGAAACTACCTAAAGCAAGGTTTCTCCCAGAAAACTTGCTAGGCCTGGTGGCAGGGCAGTCATTCATCCAGCGGCCCGTCGTGTTTTTGAGTTAAAAAATGTTTAAAGTTGACAGGAAATTTGAAAATATCACTTGAAAATCATGTGTTGTTGAAAGATGAGAAGATTAATACCTGAACACCAAAGTATTAAAAAATGCAAACATTTTAAAAGGACTTAAATAAATAAGCAATGCTTAGCCTGGTGGGGGCACAAGTAAAGCCTGGTGGCCCGCCAGGCTTATAATACACTTGCGGAAACCCTGTAAAGACCTGAGACTGGGGGAGAGATTCACCTTCCAGAAGGACAAAGCACGACAGCCGAAGATGCAATGAAGTGGTTTAAATAAACACATATTTGTGTGTATTAAAATGGTCAGCTCAAAGCCTAAACACACATCTAGTTGAATAAGTGAAACTTTCTATTAATAGATGTGCAAAGCTCTGTTTGACTTTGTTTCTTTTCTGGACAAACACATTAAAGGAACTGCTGTTGCAACTAATGCGTTACGCTTTTCCTCCTATAGCATCACATCACTGCTGCCGTTAACCATGTAGTTTTCTTTCTGTTAAAAGGGAGTTGTTCCTTTCTATTGTTGCAAAATGCTTGCTCCGTGTGACGAGATTGCTGTAAACATAATGACCCAATACAATTTCCCAAACTTGCTTAGATAGAAGAAAACTTTCACCAGTTGGCATTATTTACAGAATTCAATTATCAGTTAAATGTATTTAATTGGATTTAAATTGGTCTATGACTGAACTGGATACTTATCTGTATTAAATCAAAACCACACACAAAATATGAATTAAGAGGAGTTAAGAATGTAAAGAAATTCTTATAGTATTACATCGACTACATTTTCTTATAGTTACGAACAGCTTTACATTTCTGATTGTCAGTAACAGTCAGAAACTGCAATGCATTTCTACTAATGTCATCATCTGCGCAATTTAATTTTATATCTTTTAGAACTCATCACATTTGAATGGGCATAGTGTTTCTCCAAATGGCTTCAACCCAGCAATTACACCAGCCCCACCGCAGCAGTCCGACACCCGGGTCCCCAGTCCCGTTCCCGATCCGGCTGCGATTATCCCGAGGGATCAGTGGGGAGGGAAGTACGAGTTCCTCCTGTCCTGCATCGGTTACTGCGTGGGTCTGGGCAACGTGTGGAGGTTCCCGTACCTGTGTTACCGCAATGGAGGAGGTGAGCTACCGTAAAGCATGCTGCATATCCCGATTTTAAAACCGAGGCCTGTGTGCTCAATGGTTCCCGGCACTGATTTGGATTAGAGGTTGTCTTCGCGTAACTCCATGGGTGTTGGCTTTGTTCCTCAGCACGCTGGCTTCTTTGGCAGATTCTCTGTAAAATCGAGTGTCTCACAGCACTCGCATACCGTCTGAGCAGAAATAGTATTTTCCCTTGATTACACACCAGACTTGAAGTCTATTTTCTATCCACTCATCTGAGATTAAACATGTTAAAGCTTGACTGACTGTACAACAGATTAACGTCTTTCTATGAAGCTGTCTCCTAAAATTGATGGTCTTATAATCAAACCTGCCTTCACAAGCAGCATATAATTCCAGAATATTACTGTGTGATTTTTAAAAAAATTTTCATTACCAGCTTTGGTTTTCCTCATCTTGGCCTGTTTCCTTTCTTCGCAGGCGTGTTTCTCATCCCGTATTTCATCATGCTGTTTGTGACGGGAGTTCCTCTCTTCCTCATGGAGCTGAGTTTAGGCCAGTATGGCTCAGCTGGCCCAATCATGGTGTGGAAATGCTGCCCTCTGCTTAAAGGTAATGACCTCCATCATCAAGTTTTTTTTTGGCTAGTTAGTATGCACATTTATGGAGACCTAATGTCCCCAAATTCACCATGGTCTGCAGTATTAATCCCTCAGAAATCTCCATGTCGTCTGTTTTGCTTCACGTCACGTTGCTCCAACCCAACAGCACAATCCGGTAAAATTACAGGTTGCTGACTCATGTTAGCGTGCCACCTCATTGCTTATATGCCGTGCAGTTCAAGTTAAACATGCCTGACTGCTTTTGTTGCCTAAAGTGAAACATATTTGATTTTAAACAAATATATAATCTGGATAAAAGAAGCTAACGCAGTTCAACTATTTTTTTTTTTTTAATTTATGGTTCAGGTTGTGTTAAAGTTCACAATACAAGATGCTGAGTCACTAAGTTGTCCACATCACTAATTACACAGTGACTCTTAGAAGTGTAAACACCGCTTTTAAAAACGCCAGTTTTTTTCTTGTGACGCACATTTCAACTGAAACACATTTGTCACATTTAACATAAAAAGAACACTGCAAAACACTAAAATCTTACCAAGTATTTTTGGTCTAGTTTCTAATGCAATTATCTTAGTTTTATCTTATTTCAAGTTTACTAAATAGGTAAATTTTCAGCAAGACACAGTAGCTTGTTTTACGTAAATAATTCCTTAATATTGCTAAATGATAGTTTCATTTGGCAAATTATTTCACTTATAACAAGACATTTTTCCCATGTGATAAGAGAAATAATCTGCCAATGGAACTAGTACTTTTTATCAATACTAATGTACTAAAAACAAACTACTTTATCTTGCTGAGAAGTTACCTATAAGTCTTATTTCAAGTATACCAAGGTTTTTGCAGTGTAGAAACTTACAATAATTTGTTTGTGTGAGTGTGCCCATTCATGCTGTATTAAATCACCTTTTTATACAGTCTCAACATTTAGTCTACTTGTGTTCACAACTCCAATCGATTGCTGTGAGACGAATCTGATGAATGT